GCGCTGAGGCGCGCACCTCAATGCGCCGCAACTATGGGCGAAATGTACCTGTATTATTTGCATTTTCTACATTACAGGGGGATAGTCCGTAACATCTGGCTTAAGATGGGCTTCATCTGGATTCCCGTCTTCACCCGAATAGAATGCCGGGTCGTTATGGCTGCATCTGGACAGAACGTTGTGCCACATACAGACAGCTAGAATGACCAGGCGTTCTATTCGGGTGAAGATTAATCCTGAAATGTTCCAACTCTGGCAGGTACAGCGGGTAGGCTATTAGTTTGCAGGTTGAGGGTAGGGGGCCCACATTGTCGAGGGTAGGGGGCCCACATTGTCGAGGGTAGGGGGCCCACATTGTCAAGGGTAGGGGCCCCACATTTCTGGTTCCCTTTATTGAGGCACTGTTTCACCATTGGCTGCTTCAGTGTATCCGATTCCCTGTATCTAACCCGGGTAGTGCTCCCAGGATGTCTGTTGCTGGGTAGACTGTAAGGACCCCGGCCTCGATATTGAAGAGTAATGAATTTACATTTGGTTAAGGAGTGCTTTTCGTTGCAAAAACAGACAAACGTGGCACATAACAGGGCGTAGCGACTGTTTATTACAAACATTACTGCGAATAATTCCAATTCAGTTTTTGTTTCGAAAGCTGAGGTATTGAACTTCGGAAACCTCCAAAAGAAGCCAAAATTGTGTTACAGAACCACGACTTCGCTAGCACCCTGCTACGGTTTTCTCCTGTCAGGTCGAGCGCCAGTGGTCGGGGCCGTCACTACGCGGCCATGCTGTGCCTCTAGCGCCAGCGGCATGTCTGGAGTGTAGCTTTTGGCTGTGACAGACCTTTCTTTGTTTCATGGGTGTTTTGCTTGCTTGTGATGGGGTGTGAACCGACAGTCTGTAGAGTTTTCCATCTGGTGTGGGTGAGTGATAGTCTGCTTTGACTTTCGTCGCAGGTACCTTGAGGGCAGTGGTTGGTGCCCACCTCAGGGTATCAGTTGTCGGGCAGTCGTTGATGCTTAACCACAACCGGGGTTAAGGTGGTTTATCACTTACAGTGTAATCAGTTGGGGGATTCTGCAGACTGTTGAGTGTTCAGCCTCCTGATGAGTCGGTGAAACTCCGACGAAACAGTTTGTCACAGCCCCTCGTTTGTTGTCCTCTTCTCCCTCTCTGCCTACGGTTTACCGGGAAGCTCTGTTTGACCATATATGTGGTTCCATCATAATTCGAGCTCATGACCTGTTTACTGACAGTTCAATGTCTTCTGTTCACCCACACAGGCCGGGTGTGTACTTGTAATTGAACGGCCCGAGTCCCCCAATTCAAATACAGCTCGGGAGAAAAAGACAAACCGAGGTGTACTCCACGTGGGCCATGGGACAGAAGCACCACCGGCCACAGAAAGCTGCAAATACAAGCAGTCCGTCGCAATCCATCCGATTCTAGCATCACATTATTCAAGCTCGTGGCCTGTTTACTAAAAGTAGAAAGGAACAGCGCAACTAAAAGTAGAAAAGAAAATAAGACCCCAAACAAAAGCCAGGAAAGAAAAAAAAAAGTTCAAAAAAAAAAACACAAAAAGACGACCCCAGAAGGAAAAAAAAAAAGGTTCGCAATTGGAGCCCCTGACCTGTTAGTCGTGAAACAAAACAAAACAACAAAAAAAGAGAAAGCACGACCTGATCCATGGGCCTTGGGAAGAGTTTCCCCTGCGCCCATTGGGCTACGCTGTCCAAGCCCCAAGTTATGGTTTAGGTATTATAATAATATAATATGTGGAACAAACTTTCAAAAAGTTAAAAAAACTACGAGAGCTGCACAATCACTCTGCGAGAGGAATGCACAAGCTGCTGCTTTTCCAACACATCAAAACAAACAGTCACTTTGCACCAAACAGTCACATGACAGCCTATCTCAATTTCACCACCTACAGCTGAGAGAGAACGCCACTGATTTAACAAACAGAGGCTGATGATGAGGACTTTACCTGACCCAGTCCCTCCAGCAATCGAATGACAGAGCACAAAGCCTTCGAGGCTGTCGCTTCCATCTGCCTCTCTGTCTATCATATCCATGATGTCCTCCTCCACTTGTTGCGCCTACATCATAACATTACGATATACCATCACCGAAGAATATTGTCACTTTAGGTCTCTGGTAGTGCCAACCCCACGCTCCACGGTTTGGGGAAAAGACGCATCCTAACAGCCCCCACGAGCCCCACCCTGGGGCTACAGTCACTGCAGGGCTCGGCATGATGGAGATATTCAGGGCCTACAAGATGCACTGCAAATGGGTTGCAAAATGCCATATTTTGTTTCCCATCCAGCAACAGGGGTTTGAAAAGGACCTTTGGTACCCTCACAACCATAAGCCCAACAGTCGGGAGATAGAGCCCGTCCGATTCCGGGTTCGGGTGCTGGGCAAGTTCTTTCAGAGACTTTGCACTGGAGGCAAAGCAAGGCTCATTTCTGCTTATATGAACTATAACACACATGTCCTCTGACTCCTCAGTCTAGATCAGCAATAGTGGACTCTCCAGCAAATTACTTGACTGGTTGTTGCCTAACCGGCTGTTGTCACATTTCTCTTCGATTCTGTTCTTTTGTGTGTCATCCTTGCGCAGGGGCCGTGCTAATATTCTCTCTCTGTATCGTTCCAATTTTAACGGATGTCCCGAAGGACTTCATTTCTGTTCTTTTATTTTTGGTTTTCCAGAACGTTATCCTGTCCTTTCGTTTTAATTTGGTCATCCTCTCTTGGAAAACCGTTTGATTGGACCAAAACTTTAGCGAGTCCTAATTCAATTTCAAAACACACCAGAAAGGGAATTTCTGCCGTAGACATCAACACCAGCAGACGAGGCACAGTAATCGGTGTTATGTACCCAATTGAGCTTCAATCCGCAAGGAATTCACACGTTCCCATTCACGCATGCAATTACAGAGTAGACTCGAAGGAGGCAAATCCACACAAAAGAGGAGAAAAGATATCCACAGTGGAAGCTCAAAGTACACAGAGAATTGAAAAACGAATTTCAATTCTGGAACCCCTTGACCTCCTCCAATCAATCCAGAGTAATTGTTCAAAGAATCTCAACCACGTTAACAACATCCACGTACAGATTATTTACAAAGTGTCCTTGCAGTATCAGGGAGTCTTCTTCTTCCTCCCCTCTATTCAAGCCCTAGCTATGGCGCCCCAGCGCCCAACCCACTAGCCTGCAATAGGCCAGAACACCCTAGGAGACTCCAGCGCCCAGTCAGCAACCACTCACAACCTGGCCTGCCGCAGGTAACGCTCAGCCAGCAGGAGCTCCAGCTCCCAAGAGGAAGAAGAAGGACGTCCACTTCAATGAAGACGAAGACCTCTGCCACTTCGAAGAAGGTAAACCAAAGCTGCTTCGATGGCAGCTATCAATTCGCGACAACACACGGTGGATGAACCTCTCTTACAGCGCATGGGGCCTGATGCCCTGCGCTGCCACCTACGATGCTGGAAGGCCCCAGCTATGGCCGCCAGCCAACCACCATGAAGAGCTGCGCTGCTGCTTGGAGATAACGCAGCTGCTGAAGAGTGTTCCCCGTTTTTCCACTTCCCCATGAAGAGCAAAAAAAATGATGAGCCAAAAAAGCCCAGCTCCCTCGTGTATAGAACTTTTATTATTTTCATCGGCTGACTCGACAGCCTTAAAACTGCTAGACCTACGACTCAACTCACCAGTGGCTAGTCTACAGTGCTTCCTTACCTAGACTGAAAAATGGCTGAAAGGGCAGACAGCACCAAAAAGTAAACCCAAAAATAACAGTTGTGCTCAGCTTCGCTAAGGGACAGGGCCTGGGATCAAGTCCTGGCAGGAGCAAACAAACAAAAGCTAGCAAGCAAAGCGCCAGGGATCAAATCCTGACTAAACCAAAAATGCAAAACAGACACACCAAACTGGGGAGTTAGCTTACAGTCCGCTACATCTGCAAGTTCATTCCATTGGCATGCATAAGTGTGCCCCCTACTACAGGCCTTGTGCCCGCCCTAAGTGAAGGCGGGCCCCTGTATCTCAACAAGGCCTAAATATTGCAATTTTGCAGGCTCTGGTGGGCGGCAGACAGTTACCACAAACCAGTTGGTTACATGTGCCCTGCTCGCGAGCATCAGAATTGCCCACGAGCCTTCCAGGCTCTTCTTGCTTCAACATGGAAGCAGGCCTCTCGGCCTATCACAAGGCAGGGAACACATCAGGGCGCGTGGGTGGTTGGTTGGGCGCGCCTAACTGCTGCGGGCCCAGGCCACGGTTTGAACGGGCCTGGGCGCGCACACTTTGGCCCAACGTGAAGCTACAGGGCACACGCGCGTCCCAGGCCAGGCAGCAAGGGAGGTAAGCACTTTCCATTTAGGAAAGAGCTCGCCTCTCACTCAGTCATTCGGGCACTTGGGTGCAAGGCGGCAGCGCTGATAGTTTGAGCGCTCATGCTGCTAGCGTTAGTGCCTAGGCGCAGGCGGGCGCTTGGGAAGGGGAGAGCTGCCTGAAGGCAGCGAGTGCCAAGCCAGCCATAGCCAGGGCTTGGGCGCAGCAGAAGCCAGTGGAGGTGGTCGTGATCTTAGGCAAAAGGGAAGCTGTGGGTGAAGTTGAGGGCGGGCATTGAGAGGGCGAGCGAGGGAGGAGATGGGAGAGCACGTACCTGGTCCTGGCAGAGGGCTGCATGGTCGACATCTGCATGTACTTTAGTTGCTGCTGCTGACGTCAACTGGTTGCTTCGTCATTTTAGTAGGCTAGCATAGTAGCTGTAAGATCGTAGTCTGGGCACTGAGCATCGATAGGAGGAAGAGCTTCAGGTACATTGTTGGTGGTGGCGAGAGAGGAATTTCATTGACAATTGAGTTCGATGTTTTGGTTCTCCTTCAGTGTGATATCAGTGCATTCCTGCTTTCTGGACAGCACACGACTATCTGGCTTTCATGTGATATTGCAATTTGGAATTCTGTCATTTCGCTATTGCTCCTTTTCGGTGCATACGGAACATTTACAATAATAAATTATTATTCATAATAATTCGTTTCTTCAACTTTTGTCAAGTCTTTTTGTTTTTCCACCATTAAAACAGGTCTCTACGACCCTTGCTTCTTTTCCATTCTGGGGACCGTCAGTCCGGTTCCTATTCCACGCGCCAAGTCATAGGGCCTCACTCCACTACTCACCACATGCAGAAAAGACAACAAAATATGGCAGTGTATCTACACATCTTCTAGCGGAAGATTCATTTTCGGTTTGCACATATGGTGAGAAAGGCCCATAGGGAATACTGAACCGAAAACTTTCAAATTGTTAAAAACTGATGCATCAACGCATCCTTCTATTGTGGCCATAAAACAGGGGAAAATGCTATTAGCTTCTTCTGTCAGAGATTACACCATCATCAACATCACAAACAGAGTAGGGCAGCACGAACCAAGGAGAGAGGGGCCTTATGGGCCTGCAAATACAGAGATTACAGCTTCTTCTATTCTTGAGGCCCTGTTGGAGCACGGGCATATACAGATATGTGAACATGTAAACAATAATAAAACCAATGGACAGATCCCTAGATTGCCCAACAGGGGGTCTCAACAAACTTGGTGGGCCCAACAACAAATGGACAGACCCCAAGATTGCCCAAACAGCTTTCCAATGCATGGATCGGCAGACTGATGGACAGGCGGATAGACCAGAACACCCAGCAACAAATTGAAGAGATTCATAGCTTGCCCAACCAATGTTCCAGCAGGTTAATCGGCAGACTGATCGACTCCTGGAAACACCAAACGGAAGGATGAATCAGGATATAGTTCAGACATTGATAGAATTAGAAAGTTCTCTTCATTCAATGAGAATATATGAATATGAATCAAATCAATATGAATATGAATCAAATTTAAAATAGAGCCTATCTTTTTTATCAAAGTCTTCTTTATTCTCTAAATAGTAAATTGTTCTATAATAAATTAATAATCAATTAAATTCAGGGAGAGATGAACGAATGAAAAGGATGAGTCAACAGATAGCTCAGAAAACTGAACAACAAAGGACGCATTGATCGTTTGAACGATGGGTGGACATTATACAAAAAATAAAGTAAGGTAGATAGATAGATGAACCGTTTGAAAGATCGGCATGGTATTTAAAAAAGCCAGGTAGCTAGATGAAAACACATATGGACATGAGCACGTGGACACATGAACGCCTGAAGAAATGGACACGTGGGCACATCCACACGTAGACAACAGAGCAGATAAACAAATGAACACATGGATACATGAACACATGCACACATGGGCACATACACGCATGGACCCATGCGTAAATGCACATATGACACATGGACACAGGCAAACACACTGCTCATGGACAGATGGTGTCGCATACCGTGAAGGTGCAGACCAGAACAAGAACCGACCTCTCTCACATAGTACAAGATAGCGCAGCGGAAGGCTAATATACCAATGATCCGAACAATCAATGTTGCAATGCAGACCAAACATACATCATCATCATTCCWTGGTGTGAAGGGGCCTGGCGCTCACACAGGAAGAATGCGCCAGTCCCCAACCATACACAGACGAAGAGGAGGGGGGTTAGACGAAGAAGAGGGGAAGATGGGAATGGTGTCAACACCAAGTCTTCGGTACAGGTCCCAAATAATCCCTCGTCCAATGTCTCAATCCCAATGTCGAGTCTGAATCCAAAGGTTGTCAAGTCCCAAAGTCACCAATCTCTCTCTCTCTCTCGTAGTCTGCAGATACTGAGAAGTTAGGTAGCGAGAGGGTGAGGAAGAGACGGTGGACTTAGAAGAGGAAGAAGAAGAACTCTCTCTCTCTCTCTCTCTCTCTCTCTCTCTCTCTCTCT